ATAAGCAATGCAGTGTCTACACTGAAACTGTGTCACTTTAACTACATCATCTTCAGCACTATGCCTTTATTATGTTGGTGTAGCAGGAGAGTTGAATCGGCAGAAGGAGCATTGCAGTCTCTACACCTCCATAGTTAGGTCGACATAAGCTGCTTTATGTTGACTTAACTTTGTAATATGACGGTCAAGCGATTAAAAAAATTAATTGCAATTAATCACACTGTTAAGCAATAGAATATTATTTAAATATTTTTGCATGTTTTCTACATTTTAAAATATATTGATTTCAATTACAACACAGAATACAAAATGTACAGTGCTCACTTTATATTTTTGATCAAATCGTTGCACTTTAAAAAACAAAAGAAATAGTATATTTCAATTCACCTAATACAAGTACTGTAATGCAATCTCTTTATCACGAAAGTTGAACTTACAAATGTAGAATTATGTACAAAAAATAACTGCATTAAAAAATAAAACAGTATAAAACTTTAGAGCCTACAAGTCCACTCAGTCTTACTTTAGACAATCACTCAAACAAGTTTGTTTACAATTTGCAGGAGATAATGCTGCCCTCTTCCTGTTTACAATGTCACCTGAAAGTGAGAACAGGCGTTCGCATGGCGCTGTTGTAGTCAGCGTCGCAAGATATTTATGTGACAGATGCGCTAAAGATTCATATGTCCCTTCATGCTTAAACCACCATTCCACAGGACATGCTTCCATGCTGATGACAGGTTCTGCTCGAAAATTATCCAAAGCAGAGCGGACTGACGAATGTTCATTTTCATCATCTGAGTCAGATGCCACCAGCAAAAGGTTGATTTTCTTTTCTGGTGATTCGGGTTCTGTAGTTTCCGCATCGGAGTGTTGCCCTTTTAAGACATCTGAAAGCATTCTCCACACCTCATCCCTCTCAGATTTTGGAAGGTACTTCAGATTCTTAAACCTTGGGTTGAGTGCTGTATCTATCCTTAGAAATCTCACATTGGTACCTTCTTTGCATTTTGTCAAATCTGCTGTGAAAGTGTTCTTAAAACGCACATGTGCTGAGTCATCATCCGAGACTGCTATAACATGAAATATATGGCAGAATGTGGGTAAAACAGAACAGGAGACATACAATTCTCCCCCAAGGAGTTCAGTCACAAATTTAATTAACGCATTATTTTTTTAATGAGCATTATCAGCATAGAAGCATGTCCTCTGGAATGGTGGCCAAAGCATGAAGGGGCATATGAATGTTTAGCATATCTGGCACGTAAATACCTTGCAACACCGGCTATAAAAATGCCATGAGAACGCCTGTTCTCACTTTCAGGTGACATTGTAAATAAGGGCTGGTCTACACCCAGCCGCTAGTTCGGCGGCTGGGGATCGAAGTTCCGGGTTCGATTTATCGCGTCTGGTCTGGACGCGATAAATCGAACCAGGAAGTGCTCGCCGTCGACTGCGGTACTCCAGCTCAACGAGAGGAGTACCGCGGAGTCGACGGGGGAGCCTGCCTGCCGCGTGTGGACCGCGTCTGAACCGCGGTAAGTTCGAACTAAGGTATGTCGACTTCAGCTACGTTATTCACGTAGCTGAAGTTGCGTACCTTAGTTCGAATTGGGGGGTAAGTGTAGACCAAGCCTAAGAAGCAGTCAACAGTATCTTCCGTAAATGTAAACAAACTTGTTTGTCTTAGCGATTCGCTGAACAAGAAGTAGGACTGAGTGGACTTGTAAGCTCTATTGTTTTACACTGTTTTGTTTTTGAGTGCAGTTATGTAACAACAACAAAATCTACATTTGTAAGTTATATTTCATGATAAAGAAATTGCACTACTGTACTTGTATGAGGTGAATTGAAAAATACAATTTCTTTTATAATTTTTAAAGTGCAAATATTTGTAATAAAAAATTATGTAAAGTGAGCACTATACACTTTGTATTCTGTGTTCTAATAGAAATCAATATATTTGAAAATGTAGAAAAACATCCAAAAATATTTAATTCATTTCAATTACTATTCTATTGTTTAACAGTGCCATTAATTGTGATTACTTTTTTTTAAATCGCAGTTAATTTTTTTGAGTTAGTCACGTGAGTTAACTGCGATTAATCAACAGCCCTACTTTGTAGTGTAAACAAGCACTTAGAACACACAAACAAACTTCCCTATAGGGACAGCATGAAGTAACCCTATGACTGTGAACAAAGCATTTAGTATTTGGAGCCCTAGATTAGAAGACACAGATTTTTGAAGAGTTTAGAAATTTCCTTTCCCTCCTCACTGTAGTTCAGAATTAAAGTTGATTGGGTACTTAACTGTGCATTTCCACATCATAAAATGTTCGGATTTCTTTTTAATTTAACCTTAACTCTGAATTTCCTGAGTTTATAATGCTAGGTTTGGGGATAATTACAGCATCCCTGTAATGAATTTTGCCCTAAATTACTGATATGCACTTTCATCTTAACATAGCTTTGGCTGGGAATTTTCTTATTTTGTTTTTTAAATTGAAAACTTCATTCGTGAATAGTGTAAACAAGAAACCCAAAGAGAATGATACCATGTGATATTACTAATTATTTGAAGATATGAAGTATCAGCCTTAAATCTTCTTTTTATTTTTACTTTGATTACAAGTTTGAACAGTAGGTCTGTTGCCAAACTCAAGAGCCACCAAGCAGTCAGAGCATAGTTGACAGTTAAGCTGGGTTTACAGCTGCTTAGTTTTAGAACAGGCAGCTGGAGTGCATACTCCAGTTTCCCTCTACCTCCTGTCCTCCAAATTTCTCCTGCCTTTTGCGGCTTCCTAGATTTTTCCCCACATTCCCCTGCATACAAATACTCCAACTTCCCCTCCTTCCTGCATTCTCTTGCACATATGCACCCCATCTGCCCTTTCCCACCTCATACATTCCCCTGTACATACATGCTCGCCTCTTAGTACCCCCCTCCCTCCTGATCTCTATGTTGAGAATATACGATGCAACAGGTAGCTTATGAAAATAAATATTTTAAATAGTCATTGGTTGCTATTATTTTTCATGACTGAAGGTTTATCTGTCAGTAGAGGCTGTTGATTAAAATCTCCTTCCAAAGAAATTCACAAGATTGGTCTCTTTCAAGATGGCCACACCATTTCTTATTGTTCCCAAGGATATGGAAGCCCAGGGGCCCTTCAGGAAGATGGTGTTTCCCTATGATGTCAGGATAAAGAAGAATACTCAGCTATTTTGAAAGTGGGCAGTTCTTCATGCAATTCTCTGTAGTAGAACATTTTTCTTCTGCCTCTTCTGGGAGAAACTGACCATTAACCCTAAAAAAATTAATTAATGTAATCTGTACACAAGATTACAGTGAATTTTAATATTTACAAAGTTTGAAGAGTCTGTGTCATTCTGTTATTAAGATTATATACCACAAAAAGGTTTGATACGAGGTGTTATTTTTAAGCACCCTCTTTTTAAATTAAATTTTAATTCCTAACAGATTTACTTATAAATTCTCAGAAAATTAATTCTATACTCAGAGTAAATGCTATAACTTTGGGGAGGCTATGCTCTATTTTTCACACATATCAAAGTAACTGCATCCCTACTTTGCATGCAAAACTCAATTCAATCTCTAGAATGAAGCCACAACTGGCACCTCCATGACAAAAAGGTCACAGGACAGAGCCATTGGTGCCTATCACCAAGCATTCCCTTCTGTTTTGGTACATTTATGATTGAGTTATTTTCTAGTTATGTTCCACTTAATTCCCCAGCAGCTTCTGACTCCTGGTTTATTTTCATTTCCCTTTTCTTGATTTTGTGTAGAAAGTGAGTAGCTAGCAAATGGCCATTCCAAAAAATATAGATTTTCCACTGAAGGGAGTATCTGGAGCCTTGCAGAATACTGAATTTGCAGACTCCAACATTTTCATCCAAAACTGATTGCTTGATTCCTGTTAGCTCCCTCCTCTACACTTGTATCTTGGAACTCAAATTCAGAAAATTTAGGATTTGCTGACTTCATAGTTTAAGTTTCCCATCCTCTACTTGCCTCCCTGGAACACACCATCAAACTTTTTTTTTTAACATGTAATTCAGATAGAGTGATAATTATACTGCATCCCCCTTAATTCATTCAACTTACAGTATCACTATGGACTCTATGGTTTAATATTGAATAAAAGAAACATTATTTCTGGAATAAATTGACTTGCCCTCGGTGAATCCATGCTGACTGAATAAATTGCCTAGGGAGGTTGTGGAATCTCCATCATTGTCCAACCTGCTCTTAAAAATCTCCAAATACCTGTCAGGGATGGTCTAGATAATATTTAGTCCTGCCTTGAGTGCAGGGGACTGGACTAGTTGACCTCTCGAGGCCCCTTCCAGTTCTATGATTCTAAGAATAAACAGTTAAAAATTTATAACTGTTTTTGGTTCAACTTTCCTTTTTTTCTTTCCACATGCATCTCTAGGGGCTCAAATATTCTGCAATGCAAAACAAAAGATTTACAAAATTCTATGTATTCATTTCAAAAACATTTCAAAGAAAGCCAAAAGAATAACAAAAGGTATTTTTCTAATTAGCCTTCTAAATAGATTTTAAAGTACAAGTATATTTAGTGGATCTTGCTGACTTCTAAGATGAGTAATGATTACTAATAATCTAATGTAAGGTTTGTCATGCCATTCCAAAAAGATCAGTTTGAACATATTTTCCCTTTCATTATTTCTAGCAATAAGAAAAAAAAGCTTGTGCCCCTTCAAATAAAATATTTTGCCTGCTGTAAAGCAACTTTTAAGAAAAGGCAAAAGGAAGAAATCAAATGTGAGAACTAAAAGCTCAATAAACAGGCTACAATTTTTTTTTTAAATCAAGAAAGTCTTCTTTCATATTTCAATATAAATTGCAATCTGTTTGTTCATTCTGTCTATACAATCTTCAAATCCCAGTGTTTCAATCCCACAATAATTTTTTTTTTATGTACTAGTAAATAGCTGAATTGGCATTACCTTCTTTTCTTCCTGTAATACTATTACTTCATGATACCGTGGGACATAGGGTTCATATTTTTTCTTGTCTTCCTTTTTGATGTTGACATTCCAATAATGCAGTGCACTTTCCCTTTAGAAAGTTTAGAGAGAGATTTATGAGTCTTCAGTTTTAAATGCCTGAACATGTAAATACGCTTAGTGAAAGCCTTTTGTCCTTTGACTATATAACAAACAGCTGCTGTTTGTAATATTTAATGAAAGCCAGGATTACTCACTAATGGGAGAGTATAAACATATTGTACAATTACACTGTAAACCTGCAGAAGCCACACAAATCATGTTTCACTAATTTTGGTTTGTTACTTTTTCATATTCAAAACTATGTAGTCATTATCACAGGTTGAGTCTAGCAACAATGCAAAGGAGAAAAAGCTAAAAATCAAAGGCCAGACAAGTTAGGGTTTCTGTCCTATTAGATATAGGTGCATTGAAAAGCAAAGCCTCAAGTGCCTTATAAAGTTCTTACTTTAACTGTAGATTTAATACTGTAACTAATACTGTAATGTAATACTGACAAGATCTGCCTATTTATAGCACAAACTCATTTAAAATACTGAGAGGCTTTTGAATTTTATAGTGGCAATGCTCAGAAGAGAACCCCTTTATAATTTAAATATAGAGAGGCACAGATTTCAAGGAAAGGCCCTTAAAAAAGATAAAATTATTTCTATTGGTTACTTAAAATGTCATCCTCTTGCCTGGCATTCCAAGAGACCTACAGAAGGCTGGAAAATGATTAAATCATGACAGATACTTGACTAACAGATTAACACCAATCAACTGTAGCTAAGGAATGTTAAAATTAGCTGTAAATATTTATCTCTACCACTTCCTAATCAATTCACCATTTCTTCAAGCATCAGTTTTAACATTTAAAATTCTATGGCAGATATCATTACCTGGCCCTTATTCCGCAGATCATTTAAGCACAGGTTTAATTTTAAGTACATTCTAAAATTCTATAAACACAGGCCACGATTCAAGAAAACAATGAAGTACATGCTTAAGTCCATCAAGCATTAAAGTTCACTCTTCATAGAATTAAAACTTACGCCTACCTGCAGAGAATGCTAAACATTAGACCACTCAGACAAATTCTGCCCTCAAAGCCCATCCACAAATACTGATTGCCTTCAATGTGAACTGAATATGCATATCTTGGGTTAGTTTCTGGCCCTATAAGTACCAGATAGAGGGTTAAAAAAAAAATTCAAGTGTCTAAGAGACTTAGGAGCCTACAGCGTGGTCTACACTTAAAAATTAGATCAACCTAGCTACCTTGCTCAGGGCTGTGAAAAATTTCACACTATGTGCAACGTTCTTTGGTCGACTTAATTTCTGGTGTAGACATATCTACATCAGCCGATGAATTCTTCCAGTGACCTAGTTACTGCCCCTCAGAGAAGAAGATTAATGGAAGGAACTCTCCATCAGTGTAGTTAATCTACGAAGTGTCTACTCTAGAGTGGTACTGTGGTAGAGCTGCAACACCATAGCTGTGCCACTGTAATATAGACATATACTTAGTCCCATTTTCAAAATTAATTTAGGCACTTAGGGCCAGATTTACAAATGTATTTTGATATCTAAAGATGCATATAGGCACCAAACGGGATTTACAGAAGTGCCTATGCTGGTTAGCACCTAAATACCATTGAAAGTCATTTTTAAATTAAGGGCTAATGTACAAACCCTTCTTTTTCATATGCCAGGAGATAAAGGACTTAAGCATTTGCTCAGTCACAACACAGTAAAGGAGCAGGCACACATTCATTTTTTATATAGCAGAATAGACAGTTAGTGACAGCCTAAAAAGTGGAGTAAGACTGAAAAATCTTTACCCTGCTCTGAACATGGCTACTGACATATTACACTAGCCAGGCATGAGTATCACTAGAATATATTTCTCATCCATTGTCCTATGGTGTGCAGGTTTCCTATCGTTTAGAATTCAAGTTTTAGTCATAGCACATAACAGCTTCTGAAGGAAGTTTATACTTTTGCAATCATTGACTATCCTGCTTGTCACTAAAACAAACCTTTTTAATTTTATTTTCATTGCTCCTGGACAATAAGCAACAAAGACAATTCTTAATGGGAATTTCCCAAGTAAATAAGTGGAACTGTCTGGGTAGGTGGCATTGTTTGGCAATCTTAACTGTGTATTTCCATACTTTAAGCTGTGCCCCTCGATTTTTAATAATTACTGGCTTGGGATGGATAACCAATTCTTTTGTATAATACAAGTCAAATTAAATAATTATGTCATTGAAATTAATTTGAAGACTACCTCTTTTTGGAATTAATAGACAAAGTAAAAAATGGCATATTTTTACTTACTGAGTTATGTCATACTCCCCAGGTCCAGGCCCTGCTTGAGCCTTAAATTCACTACGTTTTCCTGTTAAATTACCAAAATGTACTCCTTTATACTTCATGGCAGAATATGCACCATTCTGAAAAATAAAGATAAAGACATTTTGCAGTTTGTGGGCCAAATTTTCTATCCCGATCTCTAACACATATAAAACTTTAAAACATAGACAAATCTGTTTCCCCAAGTGTGATTCAAATGTTATTACACTGCATCTTGGTTTGTGTACATCTGAGCTGATCATAAAAATTCCAGAAAAACTTGTTTTTGTCTAAATCTGCCAACTAATCGAAAACAAACATTTTGTGGAAACAGTTCCATTACAACAAAACTTCTGATGGCCCCAAGGGATGTTTCCTGCCTGCTTGCCCACCTGGTTCCTCTGCACCCTGCTAAGCCAGAAGCCTCAGAGCTTGGGAGCACCAGCTCCCCTTCAGCTCACCAGGTGGGCTACTAAGGACCCAAGGCTTCCCAGGCTCCCCAGCAGCCTACCAGGCTGACTGCCATGGAGCTGGAGACTATGGAAGTGAGGACTGAATTTGACATAATTCCTATCCGTTTCACTCCTTAGTAGCTGGTGTGAAACTGACCAGACTCTCATTCGGGGGCAGCCGGAAATCCCAGGGAGCACAGTTCATTTTGGAAACACCATGTTTTGGTGGAATATTGTGACTCTCAGTACCATGATCATGTTTGAGATTTTGGCTTTTCATCCCAAATTGGGAGAAAAATATTTCTGAGGAACCAAAATTCAGTTTCCCCACCAGCTCTAGTGTACATAGATAAATCTGCAAGTAGTATTTCTAAATTCACATCTCTCCTAAAATGACCATATTTATTTCTGTATTTACTCTAGTTAGTGCCCTCATTTTCACTTTCACATACAGAATAGCTCCCTAGTCAGACCTTGACACATCAGGTCAATGGTCTGTAGCTTTCTCAAAGACACATCCATAATTGATGTGAAAAAGCAGGTGCCCATTAGCAGTTCCTCTCCAAAATATATGGACTAATAACCCCATGTAACACAAAATACGAAAAGGACAAATATACCAAAACTTAGATGCAGCATTCTGCTTTAGCCCTCCATGCCACTCATCCATTTTCTGTCCAATTATACCACGTATATGCAGCCACACACTCATCACTCTAGCAGTCAAACGCATATCCTCTCATATAACATTCAATGGACTTCAGATAAGGTAGACCAGAAGAGACAGGTCCCTTAATGAAGGGCATGTCAAACAATTTAAATTTCATCTTCATGTCACATTGTTCTGCCCCACTATCCATTCATGTCATGCTCCTATTTCACATTTGTGCCTAGGTCACTGGTTACATAAATAATTTGCGCACAGGTCATGAGTCTTAAATGGCTGGAGAAAATATGTAAAGCTGTGTAAAACTCACCAACTTTGGTTCACAGGGTGTTTGTGCAAACCTTGGTTTGGGTTGTTAACACCTGAGTTTTGCATTCAGGTGTACCCAAATATTTGAAGTAAAGCTCAGTCAAGACCCCTGAATTTCACCCAATTTCATGTCAAACATTTAAAAGGACAAACATTAAGGAATAACTGTTAGGAACAGAGGCTGCAATTTATAAAAGGGTTTGAGAAAGTCTGGTATGAAATTCAATAGGAGTTGGACACCTGACCCTAAAGTACCTTTGAAAATCCCAAACAAAAAATATAAAGCTTTTTACAACAATTCCAGAAACTTAAAACCGGAACCAGAATGAACATAACTTCTTTCTGAGAAACATGATCCTTGGATACATATTACTGGTATACAAGACAGAAAAATTAGGTTACAGTGGAAAAGGTGGTATATTAGGCAGATATGGTAGCAGTGCCTCTAGTCAAGGATGACATAAGCCCATTTTCAGCTGCTTAAAATAGTGCTAAACAATCATTCAGGCTGAAATTTCCCATGCCTGGTCTTTGAGTTTTTTTAAAACTTTTGGCAAAAACAGTTCAGCAATTTTTAAGAACGAAGTTAGAAAACAATAGGTAGCTTTCCCAATATTGAAAAAAATCTTTGTTTCTTTGAAGAACTCTAATTCTTCCATGGTTTGGAACAGGGACTTGAGCATCAAGAGGAAGTCAGTCCTGGAGTCAGAGAGGTGCCTTTTGCTCTCCCCAAGAAAATCCACCCAGAACTTCTTGACTTATAAACCTCTGAAAATCATCATCTTCACTTATGAGTAAGTGTTTTTTAGAGGTTTGCAGCTAGAATTTTCAGGCATTCTATCTGCACTAAGCATGCCCCAGCCCCACAGAACACCTACATGCTTATGCCCCGCGTATGCTCCCATGCCCCACTTGGGTTTCTTTGTAGTAGGCACAGAGCTGGAACTTCAGATGGGACACATGCACAACAGCATCCCTTTCCCTCTGGCGTAGGAGAAGGAGTCTTTTCTATACTTCAGCCAAGCACCTTCCAGTGACTGGTGTTCATAATTATGTAAACTTACTATTGAGCAAGACTTAAAAGGTAGGCAAATGTTCTCCTCATTTTACAGAAAGGGGACATAACAGCTTGTACAAGAACACGTCTAGCATCCCTGGGACTAGAACCCTGACTCCAATATGGCTCCAAATCCCATCCGTTTAAGTGACACTGCATTTGAGAATGACTATTACAAATCTGTATGCTTGGCTATCTGAAACTACTAGATCACACTCCCTTCCAGAACCAGGAATCTAACCAAGGAACCTTGATTCCCAACGTTCTTCTGATGTCTAGAAAATAGTTGTGTAAGTCACAGGCAAAATGTGCTAAGCCCCTCTCTAATGACTGGTCCACATAGAGGATAACAGCCTATTACTGCTATCAGTTACTCTCATAATATAAGTGGTAGAGATCTGTCCTGTGAATCTTGAGGTCCTGAATTCAAACCTTGCTGATGACCCATGAGTAAGTCATTATTATTCCATGATGCAATGAGTGGGATTTTTTTTTCAGTTTGCTTTTCAAAAAAATATAGTAAATGACATTTAAAAACTACATGAAAACGAACATTAAAGTTGTAAAGTCACATCTTCAAAAAAGTTAGCAGAATTGCAACCTTCTGAGTGTATGCATTATGGTACAGTCTTTAGTTACAGGACCACATACTTTTCTACATGACCTCTGCCTTATTCAGTTCAAAGGGTGGAGAGTGAACGAGGCAGAGGGTTGCAAGAAGTATTGTGTTTCAGGCACTGGACTATGACCTAGAACAGCTGGGTTCTATTACTCAATCTGTCATAGACATCCCATGAGATGCTGGGCAAGACTCATAATGCATATGCTTACAACACATCAGAGAATACTGTTACTCTCATCTACCTGAAAACATGCGCACTCCTACTACTACTTGCCCAGAAAATAAAACAAAACCTTGCTAAATAAACAAAACAAGTACCAGAATACTTGATGGTGGAATGCATATTTAAAGGTTTCGTCTTCCCTATATAGCAATTCACCTAACAAATATAGTGCAGCATATATTTTCACACGTTAATCCAGACCCATCAGTATAATCCATAAATGGTTTCCACGTTTTCAAATAGATCTCCCTTCCTTGCATATGAAAAAAATCATTATCCCAAGAGATGCAATCTGAGTAAGGCTAACCATCCATTCAGCCTCTGTTGTGTGAGCCCTGTCTTTCCAATATCTTAAAAATCATTCTCTTTGCCACCATTAATGGACTCTGCGTCCAGGATGCTGTCCTTGGTGAAATGTTAGTCCAAGCACATATACTGTTTAGTACGAACGAAGTTTGATTAGCAAAAGTCCTTGTTCAGAAGGATGATAGTCTTCCCTGTCACCTTTTCCCAATATGCACATGACTTCACAGATCTGAAAAAATAGGGATACGTCTGACACAGTTCTGACCCCTTTGTCAAAAACGTATAATTCCTGGACCCATTCTACCCATTTTCAGGGGTGCCCGCTATAGATTAAAATTCAAATTTTACATAAAATTTTGTCAACTGTTACAAAACTAAGAAACCAAAATATATTCCTTTCTTGTACACCTCTACCTCACTTTCACTTCCTATGACTGGTATAAGATACCACTATTATAGATATAGAAAAATTATATAAAAGGTTCTTGGTGAGCACTACATCTAATTTTCACAGTTAACAGGGCTTTAGCACCATCAGGTGGCTTCTGTCAGGCACCATTTACTATTGTTCTAATATACTGCCACAACTGTAAATAATGCCATTGTTCAGATCTGGCTAGAGCTGACTTCATTTAATTGGAAAAGATTAGGGCCAGATCATCCTATGGGGATCTGTGCATGGAGCAGAACCTTCCCACAGCAGGAAAAGTCCAGTCCATTTGAACCACTCTGGCTAGGAGTCAGAGGACCCCCAAAGTTTGATAGCCCTAAACTCCAACATATCGTCCGTGCTCTGTGGAGACGCTGGGTGAGAATGGCCTCACATCAGTCAGTCTTAATTTTTTTGACCACTTAATGGGTGAAATATAAATGTCCTTCAAATGGAATCCTGTCCAGAAGAACAGCTGCTGTGAAAATAGCAAAGTTGTGAGGTATGAACAAGGGACATTTTTAAGAATACTCAGAGCTATAGCAAGGATATCAAGGCCCATTAAGAAGGAAAATTGACACAGGTAGACTGTCATGTTACTAGGACATCATTTCATTCATATGTTTTTGCTTTTCTCTCAAGGGAAGCAATACCTGGCAAGCAAATAACTTCATACAGTGCAAGAGTATCTGGCCTATATTTAAATTCTATTCAGCAGTATATATTAAGGACACATATGTATTGAACTTTTTATATCCCAGTGGTTCCCAAACTTTAACAACCTGTGAACCCCTTCCACTAAAATGTCAAGTGTTGTGAACCCCCTCCTAAAAATGAATATTTCCAGGGATTTTCTCCTTTACTTGAGTATAAATTTATAAAAGCATTGATCTTGGAAATATAAAATTTGTTTTATGACATGATTATTACACATTATTTATTACACCTCTACCTCAACGCTGTCCTCGGGAGCCAGAAAATCTTACCGCATTATATATGAAACCGCGTTATATTGAACGTGCTTTGATCCACCGG